GAACGCGCCGTGCGCCTGGGGGTGCGCGCTTGTGACCTGCCGGCGTGGGTGAGTACGCCGAGACCCCGAGCCCCGACACTGAACCGGGTGGGCACCACCTGGAGCCGAGCCCAGGGCCCGATCAGGGTCCGTACCCGCCCCCCCATCTGTCCTCAGTCTTAACGTCCTGATTCTCAGCCCAGAGCACGCAGCCCGTCGCAGGTCCTGACTGCCGCCTCTTCTCCAGCCCACCTGCTCAGGTGCGGCTGCGACCTCCCTGCTTGCCTGCGCGTCCCGGGTCCCCACAGGAGCCCGTTGTCCCCATCCCCCTCCCGCCCTTGGCGAGGTGTCGGGGCCACTGTATGAGCTCAGGGCCGTCCTCGCTGCCCCGCCCTGCGGGTCGTGAGCTAGAGAGCGCAGCGTCCGGAAGGACCGCGGGCAGGCGGGGGTCGGCGGGTTCCTGTAGCTCAGAGCCGCCTGTCGCCAACGGCCCAGGTTTCCTTCTCTCCCATCTAAAAGATGTAGTGACTGGTGCTCTGTGAGGACTTATTCCTTTCTTCTTTGTTTGTGACACAGAAGACCAGTGGGTGTCCCCTGAAAGATTTGCTGATATTCACAGTAATTAAAATGTGTTTTGTTTTGTCAGTACCGTGTTGTGAGAGTGAGCCTATGTAGGGTCATATATGGCAGAAAGTTTCGAAGAGTTACATTCATAATAAGAACTACCATATTGATTATTACTTTTTTATATCGCAATTGTCAACATGTTTATAGAGCAGAGAAACAAATGGAGTTCGCTTCATCGTTTTCCTCCTCGCTCCCTAATTTTTTCTTGGCGTTGAATTGGTGTCACAGTTTCAGACTATGGGAAATAGTGATTTTTCTTTAAAGATAAATGACGCTCACCTTAGGCTTGATGTAAACTTTTATGTGACAGTGGCTGCAGTGACTTTCGGGAGAGTAGTTTTCTCTAGTGGAGAATAGGGCCTCGAGAATGCTCCCTATTTCCAGCTAGGTAACATGTGGGAAGTAAGACATGGAATGGAGGACAAAAATGTCCAACAAACAAAAATTGGAAAGTAGGATCACCGAGAACTATAAAGGAACATAAAAGCACTTTGTGATGACAAATAACAATTGAGATAAGATTACAAAGGACTTCAGGAACTGAAAAAAATCTGCCAGGGGACACATGGTAGATATGTGAGACAGTAGTTTGGAGAATCAGTAACTGTTAGTATAGTTTTTAGTTATTGGCAGTAGAAAACAGGAAGTTAGAGTAACTAAAAGGAGAACAATCAAGAACAGAGGTGTCTTTTTTTTTTTTGTACCGGGGGTCGAACTGGGGTCCTTGTGCTTGCAAGTCAGGTGGAAGAACCACTGAGCTAAATCCATGGCACTGTTTTTTGTTTTTTTGAGAAAGGGTCTTGTTATGTAAGTTCAGCCTCTCCTAGAACTCACTATGTAGTTAGGCTGGCCTCGAACTCCTTGTGATCCTTGTGATCCTCTGGCCTTTGCCTCCCAGTGCTGGGATTACCCAGTGCAGGCATGCCCCATCCCCACCCTGCTGAGGCGTACTTTGAAAAGCAAAAGGATTTCAACTGCACATCTTGTGTTAATAATTAAATGCTTTTAGAAAGTAGCTAAAAACAGTGGGTAAAATTAGTAAGAAAACAGCATAAGGCTGAAATCTGGGAAGAGGGTGGTGATGACTTTCCCTAATACTTGGTTATTGAGCAGTTGACTGATTTGTTTGTAAAGAAAGTATATGAAACATAGGCTATTTTCACATAGTAAATTAAATGCTATTGCTATTTTGCCATTAGACAGTGTCTTTCCGTGGACTTTTTAAAAATCTGCTTGACCTATAATACTTATTTTATAAAAGAATTTACATTTTTCCAGAAATTTTCACTTTGTAATTATGAATTTATATTTGACCTTATAACACAAATGCACATACTTAAATATGCCTATATTGCTAAGAAAGCTTCCTGAAGGATTCTCAAGAAACTTGACAAGATTGTGTCCAAGGTCTTAGGCAGATTTGGGAGATTATCTTTTTTTTTTTAATCCTTGTGAGTTATCAAAATAAAACCAGTAAGCTGCATGGTCTAGCATTGTACCCAAAGTTCTGCCACTGGAATTTGCAGGGAGTGAGTCAACAGTAAAAGCCTTTATTAAGAGAAGTTAAGATTTCAGTATTTTTACTGTAGGTCTTTAGGGTTTCAGAATTTTGGGCTGCTAATTTGCTTTGAGTAAGATGTATCTGTATACCCCAAAGACTACATGTTTTCATAGTGTTGTTGGTGGAAACTGATGGAAATATGGTGGAGGTATGGGAGACCATTAATGAATATGGTATTTTTTTTTCTGAATTCTCCAGTTTAATAAAGAATGGGTTCCCAAAACAGTTATTAATAATCTTCTGGATTTTGGTGATAGCCATTGCGAATATGGTATTTTGGACGTATTCACTGACAGCATTTCCCCATTTTGTTTAATAAAAATTTAGGTGTGATATAGAAAAATTTAGAAATGACATAATTAAAGAATATTAGTACTTTGAGAAAAATGTATATAGTTCCTAAATTGAGATGATGAGGATATGGAAAAATGGCTTTCATTTAACATGTGATAATTTTTCAAGAGTATGGACCTGCAGCTTTAATGTCAACAGTGTTTAAGTCATTCTTCCACTCTTCTTTCCATAAACATTGAAAAGGCCTGGCAGGCTTGATGATGGAGCTTTTTATTGTATAAATAGCTACCTTGTATTAATGGGGCCCTAGAATTTTAGACTCTGAGGAACTTTTGGGGGGGTGGGTTACCAGGGATTAAACTTGGGACCTTGCACTTTTGAGGCAGGCAGCAGAACCATTGGGCTAAATCCCCAACCCCCAAAGAATTTTGAAGAGCTTCTGTAGAAATGAATAAAGACATTCATTGCTATTTTTATTTATTTAAAAATTAGAACTTGATGGTTCTAATAAGCTGTGACTTTTTTCTGCTTTTACTACTATTCATATTGCTGATGTTGTGTGCAAATATATAGAAACCCAAACCTGTCATGTGTGGTATTGCTCAACTTACTGTACTTGGTCTTACTACTCAGATATTTGGACTGTTGAGGAAGCAGAGTTATCTTTTTGTATACTACTACATACAAACTTTCTTTGGGAAACTTTCTTTCCAATGTTCTGGGAAGTTATTAAAATTTAAGAATAGCCAAAATGCTGTACATTTAGTCTAAGAACAAAATTTAAAAATGTGCTATGGACTCATAAAGAAAGGGCAAATATTTGCTTTTTTCTTTCAGTGTTAATCATTGACTTAGTACTTTCACAAAATTTTGTGAAGATTTATGAAAGAAAGTAGTAGTTGATAGTTCAGAATTCTTTTAACTGATTAGTACCTTAGCCTTTACATCCCAGAGTGATTCTGTGGTATGAGAAGCTTTGATGAGATTGTAGGTGTGCTGGGTTTCTTGTTTACACCACTTTGGCTGACACAAAGGGGAAAGAACTTTGACAGTCACACTGCTTTGTAATATGTGATCTGAATGTTTCAGTAAGTTAGAACATGACACTCCAACCAACTTTGCTAAAAATAAAGCAGTAAATACCTGGGATTTTGTTGTTTAAAATAAAAAGAAAAATATTTAAGATTCATTAAGGTATATGTATGTATTTTAAAACATTTATAAATACAAATCTCAATTTTATGAAGAATCAGTTAAAGAAAACTAATGTAATTTTGTGTTATCATTAGGTCTAGTGAACCTCCGTTCTTTTCTGTGAGTTTTCATGATTGCTACATTGGTCAGAGCATTTAATCACTAAATTGTATAAATGAGTGGTTTGAATAGTATGTGAATTATATCTTTTTTTTTTTTTTTTTTGGTACCAGGGATCGAACTTGGACTCTTGTGTTTATGAGGTGCTGGAACCAACTGAGCTATATCCCCAGCCTGAATTATATCTTAGTAGCACTGTTAAAAATACATACATTGAATTTCAAAATTAAAAGAGTGAAAAAATAGTGCAAAGTGAGCTATACCCCTTTGCTTATAATATTCTAGCTTAAATTTAAAATTTGGGCGTATTTACACTTCAAAAGATATTTAATAAAAGGAATGGCTTTATGAATGAATGCAAAAAGCAGCTAGGTAAATATTTTTACCTTAAACTTAATATTTCCATAGACACTGATGCAATATTGTCTGAAATAGGTTTTTATATACGGTATGAAATTTTTATTTATATATGTGTGTATATATATATGTATGTATGTATGTATATTTCTGATGCTGGTGACTGAACCCAGGGCCATGTTAAACATGTACTCTACCACTGAACTACACTTCCAGCCTCCATATGTAAATTCTAATTGCATAACTACAGAAATTCATGTTTCAAAGATATAAACAGCTTGAATCTGTGTTTTCTGTTTTTTTAAAATTTTAACTCTGGTTCAAGGTATCAATGTATAATTCTCATATTTGAGGCATCAGCCTATAGGTTGACTTGTTTTATACTAGGCATATTAGAGTACTCTGTCATTTTAGAATGTACTATGAGTGTTCTTTTGCATTTTATTATGGCTTGTCAGCTCATCTTTTTCAGCTTCATGATGGTTCTGTCTCAGAGGAATTTTATTAAAGTTTGAAGACTGTTCTGACAAAGTTTAAGAGGTCATCCTGTCTTCAAATTATCAGGGAAGATGAGACAAACTCATGAGGCCAGCTGTGGTGATTGCCCCAGAGTGTCGTGTGGTTGAAAGAAAGGATCAGGAGAGTTTAATGGTAAGGAATGCATAAACATACACATACAGAATTCAGTGGACAGCAGCGTAATCATGGCATGTTTCATGGGACAGGAGCCCAGAGCTCAGGAAGGCAACAGTGTGTGGATGACAATGGGAGGTGGATTTCTGGAACTTTGTGGAAGATCTGTTGTGGTTGTAATTCCATGACATGGTACAAGATGGAACTGAGCAGGGTTCAGCAGTGACAAGCAGAAGTGCTTCCACTGACCCCACCCAGAAGCTCCCTGGTAAGGAGCAAAGGTGCTCCCACTCTTCCCCTACCCAGGACTCCCATGCAATTCTCCAAATTTGCAAATAGTCAGTATCTGAGTGTAAGTACCTAACACTCTTTAGACATAGAGTATTTAGACACAGGGCTGAGTGAAAGTGTGATGTATTCATTTCTGAACTTGTGAATTCAGTAAAGGAAACCTACTCTGTAATGTAATATTCTCTTGCTGTATCTACCAGAGAGCTTACAGGCAAAATTAGCTGGATTGTTGTACTCTGTACCACTGTAGCTGGCATTGCCCAGCTACCTTCACTTAGCTATTACTGTCAGTGATGTTACTGTGCCTTAGACTCCAAGCACCTCATGTTCTTTGGAACTGAGTGGGGTGTAACTCCTACTGAAGCAGTTAATATGTCCCTAGTTGTCTTTTATCCCTAATTTTTTGTCATCTTTTCCCTTAAACATGTTTTATTTACATGTTTTTCTTGTGACCTCTCTTCCTGTCCCTGGTTTTTCTTAGCGGACTCTATTTCATTGAATTTTTTGTAGAGTAAATTACATTTTTTTTTTAATACTGGGGATTGAACTCAGGACTTTGTGCTTGCCTGAGCTAAATCGCCATTTGAGTAAGTTACATTTTAAGAAACTTGACCAATTAATTTATGTGTTGGACTAAAAATGAGTGTTTATGGATTCATTTATTCACTAAACCAACATTATTGGACATGTGCTATGTTTCAGGTGTTAGGCTAGGTGCTAGCAACACAAATATGAGTAAGGGTCTTAAATTCAGCAAATTTATTAGCTGGTAATGACAAAAATGTAGACAGTCCTAGTTTTAAATTCATAGCAAGCTGACAAAAAGTATATATGAGGGGTGATCACACCAAATGTGGTGAATGCTTAAATTTCATTACAATAAAAAAGACACATTGTAATTATTTCCTTTCAGAACACTCAAAATACTCTCCCTTGCTTCAAACACATTTAGCCCATTTTTCTTGGCAATGTTTCTTACCATAAGCAGTTTTTGTTAAGATTTAAACATTCACCATATTTTTGGTTTCCCCTTGTATATTTATTGTGTACGTGTTTTTGAAATATGTTTACATTGCTTGGTGGGTGAATAAATAACATATTTTGCCTTATATATCATTTTTGAGGTAAAATACTTAAAATCTCCTTTAGCGATTCAAGAATAGATAACATTGCTATTAACTATAGTTACAATGTTATCTGTCCTAAGTGAAATTTTGTATCATTGATTAGTATCTTCTCTCTATGCCCCACCCTTGGCTTTAATATAATAAGAATAATAATACACAAGTCATTTTTTTAATCTAGAAAAATACATTAAAATGTTATCCATAATCCCAAACTTCCCATGATGGTAGTTTGTGGGAAATTATAAATTGAATGGAGCTGTGGGTTTTTCTATTTGTACTTACCAACCGTACTAAAAATCATTTGTTCTGGAAAGGATGGTTTAGGATTTTTAAATTTTGTGGACTCTTAACTACATATGGAGAAAAAGGTGAGAAAGACCTTCATTAGGTCACAGTTGAAATAATATGTCCATTTTTTAAAATACCCTACTTTAAAAAAAAAACCCTACTTAGGGCATTTTGTACATTTATTTTGTTTTATTCTGTTTATTTAGTTTCCATTTTTTGGAGACAAAGTCTCACTACATAGTCAGGCTGGCCTGGAACTCACTATGTAGCCTAGGCTAGCTTTGAACTCACAGTGGTCCTGAGTGCTGGATTTATAGGCATGTGCCACCACATCTGGCTGTATATTTAGTAAGTACATAGCTCAACTTTTTATGTCAATCTATTTTTAAGATTTTCTTGATCAGAATTAAAATTTATTCTGAGGTTTGTTGATTAAGGTACTCAGGTCTAATTTTATGCCATGACATCATTACTTTTCTGTGCCTGGCAATTTTTTGTTTTTGTGTTAGTTTTGTTTTTGTGGTACTGGGTATTGAACAGAGGTTGATCTTGGTTATATCTCTAGGCCTTTTTAATTTTAATTATCAATTTTGAGACAGGGTCTTGGTAAATTGCCCAGACTGGCCTTGACCTTGCAATACTCATGCCTCAGCCTCCCAAGCGCTAAGATGCCCTGTATGCCATGCCTGGCTGATGGAAAGTTTTACAGTTACCCTTCTATTGGATGCCTCTGAAATTCATGGTTCAATGAGGTATCTCCTCAGTAGATCACGGCAGGGCAAACAGAAACACCAGTGCACAGGAGTAAGCTGTCTGTCTCTTGTGCTCTGGGTGTTGGCCACAGTAGTGTCCTTGTGCCCCTCTGACAGTGCACTGGAATGAGAGACAGCCCCACCAGCACAGGAGAGGAAAGGTCAATACAGTGTTTGTTGTGCTTTTTCCGCCTCCCATTTAGAGTTATTGAAGTTGAGCTAGTAAGGGCTGGTCTTGTGGCTCAGTGGCAGAATACTTGCCTAGGATGTATGAGGTTCGGGTCAGTCCCTAGTACTTCAAAAACAAAAGAATTTGAGCTTCCAGGTTTTTTTTTTGTTGTTGTTGTTGTTGAATCATGTAGTGAAGACCCTTTGTCTGGTTTTTTGGCGGGGAGGGTTTGAGACAGGGCCTCACTGTAGTTGAGACTGACCTGGAACTCACTATGTAGCCCAGGCTGGTCTTGAACTCACAGTGATCTTCGTGCCTCAGCCTCCTGAGTGCTGGGATTACAGGCATGTACCACCATGCCCAGCTTCCTTTGTCTATTTTTAATGAATAGGCAGTTGTATTTTTCATTTCCTACATGTAGACAGGTTTTAAAAAGGTACTTCTGATGTGAGAAGAATGTGTGCTCATTGTAGAACATTTCAAGCTTTGGAGCAGAATAAACAGGAAAGGTCACCTGGAACCCTAACTAGTATAAATTGATTTTGATAGTTTTTTTTTTTTTAATGGTTGTTCTTATTCAGAAACACAGCTGTGATTATTGCAAAAACATCTATCTATGAAACTATTATTCTTTATGTAAATGATGTCCAGTGAGCACATTTGAAATACAAAATTGTTAGATATTATGTGGTAAGAAAAAGATAAAATATTTAATTTTTTTAGGTTAAAAAATTGTATTTGCTTGAGGTATTCAGTAGATCTGTATCATGGGAGTTGTGAGTGTGAATTTGAACTCATTGGAATAGCACAATAATTTTTAAAGCAGAAGACTAGTTGTGGAAGCCAGTGTTTGTTTTGAATGGTAGGATATTACAAGACATGGAAGATTTATCCACAGCTCTCATGGAAATGACCTTTGGCAGAAAAGCATTCTCTCTGCAGTGAGTCATTGCCTTAGGTTGCTTTTCTTCCTGTGGGAGATATTAATATTTGTTAATAGGAATGTTCTTTAGTAAAGTAGTGGTTTCCTGTAGCACAAAGTGATATCTACTTTTGAGATTTCTGAGGAGACTTCTGAGATTGCCTTGTCCTTCTCTGAAAGTAGCTGCCCACATGGCCAGGTCAGTGTCATTTGGCTGCATTACTAATGTGAGGATCTGACTGCAGGGGCCACATCTCAACATCAGGCTCTGATGGATGAAATTCTCTGGAACCCCCCTTTCCCCAACTCAAAGCCCTAGGCTGAGTCAGTTCCACCTCTCCTGACAGCCTTTCCTGTCAGGAAGATGGGGTTGAAATGAACCCATGCATGACCTGCAGTGGCCTGTGAGGCTGGAATGGGAGGAGGCCCAATGAAATGCTAGACAGGCAGGCAGAGAGTGCACGCTTGGTTTGCTACCTGAGTCACAGACAAGCATGCACAGCTGTGACTGATGCCCCCTCACTGGTGGCTCTGGTGTAGCCTGAGTTATTTCTCTCACCACAGAGTTGCCCTTTGCCACCTCCCTTCCCCATTTCCATTGGAGTGGAACAGATGAGTCTGGGAGTATTTCTCTGTTTCTGTTTCACTGCAGTTCGTTTATTTTGTGTTGTTGCTAAGAATTTATCTACCAGAATTCTTTCCTATTTTTAATACTTGAAGGTATGACTTACAGTTTCATTTTCTCACTGTTTTTCCCTGTGTATCCCAAAAATAGATCCTAGGGCCCTAACTTGCTTTCCTGTCTTTTCTTTTTTAAAAGAAATGTTACCCCAGGACATGCTAATTACTCGATTCAGGAGATTAGGTAGTTAAAACTACTACTAAGCATATCAGATTATAAAACTTGAAACTTGGTTCCAGTATTTGTTTCCTTCCATTTGTGAATAAGTACTGGTTAGTGACTAAAGTGCAGATTTGAAAATGCACATCTTATTTCTAACCTGCATTAAATGTGGAATTGTTTACATCTGAGGGAATTATATGATTTAGGTTTCCCAGAGTAAGGTAGATCTGTAAAAAATAAGTTCAGTGATGTGGGAAAACAATGTCCAACTCATTTAATGCCATAAATATTACATTGGAGAACATGTTACACACTAGTTTTTGGTGATACAGCTTGCATTGAGATAACCACTACAAATTTCTGAAATTATAGTAAAAAACACAGATACTTGTTTTCTTATAAAACTACATATTTGTTAAAGGATTTAATTTAATCTTTGATAATTATAACCACTATAGTGTCTAGCATGCTGTATGTGCATATGATTTGTGCTCAATAAACTTGAACAGATTGTTCAATTTTCATTTTACTAAACCTTTCCATACCCAATTAGTAAATTGATGTTTAATGCCCATGTTGTCATTGTTACACATACCAGAGGTAAACCACGTACTGATATTAATTT